GTGGCCACCGGGGAGTCCCCAGGGAGCGAGCCTGCTTTGGTCCGCATGGCACGCCCCGGGTCTCCACGAGATGGCCTCAGACACCAGCCTCTTCTTTGGGACGCTTGCTTGCCACCCGCCCACCAGAGGAGCCCCGAGGGCGAGGCAAGGCCAGAAAGCCTCCCACTCAGCCCAGATCAACCACAGACACCGCGGGGGAGGCGGAGCGTGTGCCTTGGTGGCGCCCTCTGGTTTCCTTAATGGAAGGCACTCCCACATCCCTCACCCTGCCTTGTGGCCTTTTCCTTCTTTCCCCACTCCAGGTTGGGTGAGGACTGCGTTTTTCCCCCTCAGACTGTACTCTGTGGGCGTGGGGACCACATGGGTATGTTGGCGCTGTGTTGCACCAAGGGGCTAAATAAAGCCGTGCTGAGATTTGTGATTCTTGGGTCGTGGTCCAGGCTCCCTTCCCTGGTGCCCCTTCCTCATTCCCACTCCACCTCAGAGGGCTTGCTTCCAGGGTGTGGGAGGTGTTCTGTTAGTGCATGCACTCAACTAACATTTACCCAGAGCTTAGTCCATGGCAGGGACCATGTGGGGAGGGGACAGAGCCCCAGAGGTAGACCCGCCCCTTGCACAGCTGGAGGTGGGAGGTGGGGGGAGGAAGGTTCAAAACCTGCAGTCACCGTGCCCGTGGGGCTGCTGTGCCCAGGGTTAAGGTGCATCCCACCCGTGTGTGGGAGTGGAGTGAGGGTGGGAGGAGTCTTGTAGGTACTGAACTGGGCCACCCGGCGCCTCTTCTGGACAGTGTCCTGGGGTGGGCGCGGGGGACTAATCTTGGCACCAAGGAGCCACCCTGAAGCTTGGGGCTCCAGATCTCTTCCTGAACTCTCTGTTGCCCAAGGAGTGACCCTTTCATCCTGCCCCAACCCAGGCCTGCGTACAAGTCCCCCACCCCCAGCCTCCTCGGGCCACACTGGGATGTCACTGGCTGGGCTGGGGAGGGTGACAGCTGTCTGGCCTCAGGAGCTCAGGCCGGGCAGCAGGGAGCCAGCGGAGGCTAATTTTACTCACAGGGAGCAGGGAGAGTGATCCCCGCCCCGGCTGGCTCAGCAGGGCAGGCTTGCCCAGCGGCTCCCCCGCCCAGTCCCCGAGGCAGGGGCACTGGGGACGCAGGGAGGAGAGGGCGGAGGCTGGGTGAGCAGGGGAGCGTGAGGGTACCGGGGAGCCATGGAGCCGTCCTTGCCCCAGGATGAGGGCCTGAGGAAGAAACAGCCCAAGAAGCCTGTTCCCGAGGTCCTGCCCAGGCCGCCCCGGGCCTTGTTCTGTTTGACCCTCGAGAACCCCGTGAGGAAAGCCTGCATCAGCATCGTGGAATGGAAGTATCCTTTAGGGCCAAGGGGCCTCAGGGGTGGGGGTCACGGGAGGGGGGTGGTCACAGATCAGAGGCTTTGGGGTCAGGAGAATGGACCTGCAGCTGGTGTCAGGCGCCCTTGGGAAGGAAGCCCTCGGCCCAGGGGGAGGGGGAGGGGGGCTGGCGGGCCTTCAGGGCTGAGTGTGAGGCCCAGGTCCTGGAGGCAGCCCGAGTGCCTGTGGGGTGTCTCTGGAAGGTGCTGGCACATTTCTTGGGGCTGCTGGAAGGAGTGCCCAAATTCCCAGTCCCCAGAGTCAGGGGCCCCGCTCAGCCTCCGTGTGACATGGGACACGAGATGGTAGGCCTGCCTTTGGGAAAGTCCCCCCTGATGGGAGGGGGTGAGAGCATTGAGGGGTGGTGGTCCCCTCTGGGGCACGGGCTGGAGGAGAGATGGGCTCGAACCAGGCTCTGCTGTGAAAAGCCAGCCTGGCTCGAACGGACCACCCTAGGGACTGGGGCTTGAATCCCTCTCTGAGGCGGCATTAGCTCTGGGGGAAGAATGACGAATATTTCCGGATTATTTGGGGAAAGGAGGAAGGCGCTGCTGAGGGGCGGGAGGCCGCTGTCAAGTGGGTTCTGAGAGCCGATCCGGGATATTTGAAATATTTCTGAAGGGTTTGGAAGACCAGGCTCCCACCAGCTGTTCCTGAGAAGAAAGGAGAGTGAGGAACAAGAGGACCAGGAGAGCACGGGCCGAGTTGGGGCAGTCCGGGGTGGCTCAGCCCTGCCTCCCCCGCCCCTCAACTCCTTCCACACCGGCCTCTAACGGCCCGCATCCCCAAGGGGCCACGCTGCTCACCAGCAAGCGCAGGGAGCCTGGGGCTGCACTGCAAAAGGGCTGGCAGGGGCCTGAGAGGTGGGCACACAGCTCTGGGGCTCTGATTCTGTCGGTCACGGTCCGTGCCTCAGGCTGCAGAGTCCAGGTATCACCCCTCATGTCCCGTGCTCCGACCCGCCACGTGGGTGCTGAGCCCAGCCTGCACCGGCCACAGCCTCCCTTCCCATTTCTTTGAGGGCCCTGTGGGCTGTCTGTGCTTGGCTCCTCGGGCACGGGGGGAGTGGTGGTGGGTCGGGGTGTGAGGGGGCAGGTGCTTAGAGGGGAGGGTTAGGACTCCCTGGCCCCTTTAACCCTTCTACGTGGTTGGTTGGGAGTGTAAATTGGTGCGGCCGCTGTGGAGAACAGTATGGAGGTTCCTTAAAAAACTAAAAATAGACTTACCATGTGATCCAGCAATCCCACTCCTGGGCATATATCCAGAGAAAACTCTAATTCAAAAAGATACATGCACCCCAATGCTCAAAGCAGCACTATATACAACAGCCAAGACGTGGGAACAACCTAAATGTCCAGCGACAGATGACTGGATAAAGAAGATGTGGTATATTTATACAGGGGAATACTACTCAGGCATAAAAAAGAATGAAATAATGCCATCTGCAGTAACGTGGATGGACCTAGAGGTAATCATATGAAGTCAGACAGAGAAAGACAAATATCATATGATATCACTTATACGTGGAATCTAAAAAAAAAGGCACAAATGAACTTATTTACAAACAGAAACAGACTCACAGACATTGAAAACAGACTTATGGTTACCAAAGGGGAAGTGGGAGAGAGGGATAAATTTGTGATTTGCAGGTACACGCTACTGCACATAAAATAGATACTGTACAGCGCAGGGAACTGTATTCAGTGTCTCGTAATACCCTGTAGTGGAAAAGAATCTGAAAAAGAATATATATATATGTATGCATAACTGAGTCACTGTGCTGCACACCTGAAACTGACGCAACACGAAATCAACCAAGCTTCAATTTAAAAAAAAAGGGTCCCTGAGAAGCCCTCAGCCGGGAGTCAGAGCTTCTCAGTCCCCAGGCGTCTCAGTGGACGTCCCCTCTTACGGGGGAGAGGGAGGCAGTTGCCCCGCGGAGCCGGGGCCTATGCCCTGCAGGAGAGCATGCTGGCCCCTCAGCCTGGCACTGGAGTCACTGCAGACCCTCGGAGCTCTTCCCTTTACCCCTGCAAAGCCCGCGCCTCGCTCGAGGGCTCTCCTTAACCCTGCCCCAGACCCTTCGAGACCATCATCTTACTCACCATCTTTGCCAACTGTGTGGCGCTGGCCGTGTACCTGCCCATGCCGGAGGATGACAACAACCCTCTGAACCTCGGCCTGGTAAGATGGACCTTCCCGTCCTCCTGCGGCCTGGGCTGTGGGAGGCCCCTTGGGGGGCTGCGCACGGTGGATGATGCTGGAGTTCAGCCCCTGAGGATACAGACCCCGTGTCCCACCGCCAGCAGGGCTGGCTGAGCGGCTCAGGGCTCTGCAGGCAAACCTAACCTTCCCAGGCTAGACTCATCGTATGAGCAGCCAGCACTGAGCGAGGGCCCGCTGTGCCAGGCACGGCGCTGAGCAAGTGGAGACTAAGCGCATGTCACCTTCGGTACAGCCCCTAAAGCAGTTCCATTCGACAGACACGCGAACTGAGGCTGAGTGAGGCCAGCGGTGGAGGCTGAATGCTCAGTCCCCTTCCCGGAGTGTAATCGGGAAGAAAGCTGCTTCCACGGAGCTGGCCTTCCGGGAGAGCTCGATGGAGGGGTCCCAGGAGAGCATGTGTGTCCCCAGCAGCATGTCCCCAGGCCGTAAAGTGCCAGAGCCAGAGAGGGCTTTCCAGAGTCAGGCTGACCCGCCTCCTCCCACCGCACGCTGCTTTGCGGATGAGAAAACGGAGGCTTAGAGAGGGGGAAAGACTGACTGAGCCGAGAGCCAGAGAACTGATAAAACGCTCGATGTTCTTCCGGCGCTTGTTAGATGCCAGGTTCTGCGCTAAGTGTTCCGCATCGTTGTCTTTTTCACTCCCTGTAACAACCCCTGTGAAGTCAGTCCCAGGATTAGACCAATCGCAAGGCAAGGAAACTGAGGTTTGGGGAGTTGGTTCCCCTGCCCAGGGTCACCCCACAAGCATGTCTTCACACAGGGTCTCAGGCGCAGGCCTCTGACTGTGACACCCGGCCTGTTTCCGCTGTGCTGACGTGCCTCAAGCCCCACGAGACAGCGGTGGGCATCTTCCCCCCAGGCTTCCGTGGGGCCAGGATGGTGGGGCCAGCCACCGTGGCAGCGGCGTTTTCCTGCACTGACTCTGCAGGGTGGGAGGAAGGGGGCCAGCAGCCGCCCGAAAGGACAGCATTTATCTCTGCCTCCGCTTTATGCTGGTTTCCATGGGAATCTATCTTGAGGTGGTGAGAGGCTGGGGTTCTGAGTGAGTGCCGGGCTATAAGTGGAAAGACTTGAAGGCCAAGTGTGGAAGCAGAGTGAGCTCTGACGTGGGCCCGGCCTGGCGGCGGGGCTGGAGGGGTGGTGGGGCTGCAGAGCCCCAGCCCCGCGAGGCTGCTCACTTCTCTACGCTCTGGATTCCAGGGGGGCCCTGGGTCCACCCCACCCTTTAGGGTTTCATATTTCGGGGCCTCAGTTCCATTTCAACTCCTTAAGACGCTGACTATTTTGGAAAGGAACGCCACCCTCCTGGAGGGTACTGAATCATCCCTCAGTGGCTGAGTCGTCTCCCACCTTGAAGCAGACAGTCGCTCTAACACTTTCAAGCAGTGCTGTGCGCTGGCCTTCAGCCCGTGGGCTGAGCTACAGAGTCCTGGGTACGTTCTCGTGGAGAGAGGGGGCTGCACTCCCTGGGACAGGCAGATCTGATGGGAAACCTGCCCAAAGAAGCGACTCTCAGGTCGAAGTCAGAGCTGGACGGGCTATTGCTACCAGCGGGGGAGCCTATGTGTGGAGCCCAGAGAGGGAGAGCGACACACAAGGTCACACGGCCGGCTGCTGGCGGCGGCCTCCCCACCCCCACTTGTGAGTTATGTGTTCATCTCCACGAAATCCAGCACGAGGGAAGTGAGCAGCTTCGGGCAGGAGGGAGGGGGTGGTCGCCAGCCTTCTGTTGGCTGCTTCGTAGGCCTCGGAGGGAGGCCAGGGACCCCCAGGCACACACCAATTACCGAGTATTTATGGACGCCTCTTACACCCCTGGCGCGCGCAGGGGCTCGCTGGCGAACAGACGTAGTCCTCATCTTCGCAGCTTAATTAATCCAGTCAGCCAAACGAGGAGCTAAAATGAAATAGGAGTGGGCAAGGGGGGGCACTGGAATATCGTCCTGGAGGGGACCTGAGCGAGACATGGGGTCAGGGCAGCTCCCTGATCCTAGAGGACAAGGACAGGGATGGCTTCACAGGGCAGGGGAACCCGGGTCGTCCCACCAGGCCCGGCTACAAGAGGGTCCCGTGTGTGCCTGGGGCCAATGCTCCGTGGTCGTGGTATCGAAGCGTCAGATAACTGCATCTTGAGTCCAAGTTCTGTAAGTGAAGTCCGATGGGGACAGGGTGCGTGGACCAGGAGCTGGCGCACAGCTCACGGCTTCTACCACCTCCCACCCCACCCTTGCCTCGAAAGACAGGCTCTCTGCTGAGCCCCTGCCTCCTGGGCCGCCTGGTACGGCCCGAGCATGGTCCTGGGAGGGTCAGGGTTGGGCACGTGTGCTCTTTGGTGGCTGCACCCACCCTGGGCTGACCGCACCGCAGCCCGTGCAGGTGGGCTCTGTGGGGCCCAGCCTCAGCCGGCCCCTTTCCGGTGCCCAGAGTCTCCTGCAGTGGGGCTGCATACCCTTGGGTGGAAGCAGCAGGGCTGTGTGAAGGGCGGTGCCTGCTCAGTCCCCGCCTCCGGCTGGGGCATGGCTGGGGCATGGCTGGATCCCGAAGAGGTGCCAGGAGGGTCTGCCCTTCCCCACACAGCATTAAAGAGGCAACTTAAACCCATCACAGTAGGCTACCAGAGGGGGGCTTTTTAGCGCCTTTAGTGACACTCACTGTGAACAGGGCTGGAACTTCCCTCTGTGCTGGGCCCGCCAGTGATGGGCAGGTCTTGGAGGAGGGTTGGGCATGGAGGAGGGGCTGTCACAGCCCTGCAGGAGGAGGGCCCAGGGGACCACATGTACAAAGGGCCGGGGCCAAGAGATGGAGATGAGTTGGGATTTAGACAATCTCTCAGGCCACCGCCTGGAGTGTGGGTTGGGGGGACGGTGGGGTGGAAAGGAGGGGGAGGGTGAGGAGGCCTCTCAAGTGCCCAGACATGAAATGGGGGAGCAGAGCTGAGGCCCGGGTGACAATGAAGATGGATAAGAGGGCAACATTGAGATTTAGCAGCGGGGAGTCCATGGACCTGGTGCCCGCCGGGTGTGGGGACTGAGCGTTGGGGAGAGGGGGGAGAAGGAGAGGGTGACACTCGGGTTTCCGAGTGGGTGACGGAGCACATGGCGACATCACTTCCCGAGACAGCACTCCTGGGGAGGAGCAGGCTGGGCTGGGGGAGGAGAGGCAGAGTGAGGTCAGCCCCGGGTGGCACATGTGCTGGGGCCTGTGTCCACCGGGCGAGTGGACCGCAGGTCTGAGCATGGGGGTCAGACATTTCCTCACTTCGGATGACTCCAGACTAGCTGGGGTGATGGGGTGGTCAGGGAGCAAGAAAGCCTTCCCACAGGACCTGCTGGGCTGCCCCGGGGCCGCTGGCGCCCTCGCTCGTGGCGGGGAGGCCCTGACCGCTGCCGTGGCGGTGAGCTTCCCTGGGAGGCGGGCCCCCCCGGGGACTTTTCTCCCGCCCTCCTCCTCCTCCCCTGCTCTCACCGAGGGTGATGGACTGAGCTGGGGTTGTCCTCTGACTGCCTGCTCTGTGTCACTGGGGAAGCCCAGGGTCAGACAGAAGGGGAAACTGAGGCCCAGAGGGGACCAGGAGTCCCAGGGAGACACAGCGGGTCAGAGGACGGCCAGGAGAGGGCTGTGACTTCTTGGAGCAGAGGACATGGACCCTGAAGTTGGCCGGGCTACAGAAGCAGTTGGTGGTTAAGAGAATGGGTTCTGGAGCTACAGCGGTGTTACTCAACTTCTCTGTGCCCTCAGTTCCTGCATTCGTAAAAGGGGACAACATTGTGAACATCCGAGAGGATTCTGGATGAGTCGAGGCCGTGTGAGGTGTGCTGCCTTACCCACTGACCCAAGGAATTTGATGGCACGGGCGTCACAGTGCCTCGCGGTGGGCCCCCCAGCCACAAAGCCCCTGGTCAGAGACCCCGGGCTGTTCTAGAGTCAAATGGTGTAAGCCCAATAGCCATGACCAAAGGACTGCTTCAGACAAAACTCCTCTTCACCCCGCCCACCACTGTCCCGATCTCTCTGCCCCTTCGTCTTCTCCCCTCCCAGCATCCGACTTACCTGAAGGGCCCCCCACACACCCTCCAGCCGCTTACCATCATCACCACCGCCATCAACAGCCAGCACCTTCGGGCTCCCGCCCTGAGCCAGGTACCACTCTAAGGCTTTCGACGCATGATCCCATCAGGGCCCACGACAGACCCCCAGGGCAGGCGCTGTTATTTTTCTTATTTTTCCAGATGAGTAAGAGCAGGCACAGCAAGCTTAAGTCACTGCGCATGCCCGGTGGGCCCTGCGGGCAGACCTGTGTCCTTAGTGGGGCACTGGGTGTGGCTCTCTGGACATCAGAAGGGGCCACAAGAGGCGAGGGGTCTCAGCTTCCCTGGGGAGTGGCTGGTGGGGAGGTCCCAGGACAGCAGGTTCCTGGCCTCGCTGTGATCCTGCCTCCCCCTGACTGTGGACTGGCTGCCCACCCAGAACCCACATTCAGAGATCCCGCCCCGGCCTCTAGGCACGACTGCACTGGCCCAGGGGAGGAGGCTGCTTCAGGCCTGCAGAGTCGGTGCCTGACAGCCCGCCCCGGAGTTCTCCCAGCAGTGAGGGCTGGGGGACCCAGGCCACAAAAGGGCACCGTCTGTCAGAGAAGCGGGAGGATGAGATAGGCCCTGAGCTGCCACGGGGGCCAGCGGAAGGGCAGGGAGATGCCCAAGGGCAGCTGGAAGCCAAGACCAGAAGCCAGGGTGCTGGCCGCCAGCCCAGACCGGAATCCTGCAAGTTCAGCCCAGCCCCTTGAAGGCCCACCTGCTCCCTGAGGCCTGAGGGAGCCCTGCTCCTGGGGGGACCCCTGACTGCGTCCCGTCGGGAGGATCTCCATTCCAGCCTGGGCCAGCTGAGGGGACCCACGTGGAAAACAACAGCGTCAGGGGCCAGGGCTTCCAGTTCTGGGCTCAGGCTGGAAGCAACCGCTTTGGCCGCCTTCGCTACCATCTCACCAAACAATCCTGAGTCAAAGTGCGGTTCTCAAAAAGTAAGAACGTGGCTGTGATTCAAATCTGCAAGGAGGACAAAGGCTCATTCAACTCGTAGGAGAGCAAGTAGGAGGGCCAAGCTGGTTCAAAGAGGATTCGAGGAACAGAGTGTGTGAATCTGGAGAAGAAACGACTGGCTAGGATTGCCATGCGAGACACTGAGCTGGCTGTGTCCTGCAGGACGGTGAGACTGTGTCGTCAGGGTGGTGGTGACGGACGGTTTCTGTCAGGCAGACGCCATTTGTGTTTCTACAGGGCAGAATCCCGAGGGTCAAACAAAATTACAGCCCCCACGTCAGTGGTTTTTGGGCAGGGGAGAGAGGCACCTTTGGCGACGTCTGGAAGTTGGCGGGAATGTGTCCTGACCGTGCCCGCACTACCAGCATGTCCACCCCAGCGAGCGGGGCCAGGCGTGCTGGCTCCCGCCCCCCGACGCACAGGCCAGCCCCTCCCACCAGCAGAGAGCCATCCCACCCAAACGTGGGTTCAGCTGAGGCCGAGAAACCCCTCTCCAGACAGCGAAAGAATCCTTGCGAGGTCCGTTATAAAACGCTCCGACAGGACGTTGTAAGGACACGGCGCCCTCCCTGTGTGTGACTTCCAAGTCCTGGGTGATTTTTGGTAACACAGGGCAAGTTGGCCTTGGTACTGCTGGCAACACGGGGCAAGGCTTGCTCGTCCTGGCCCCCTCCCCCCCTCCTGCCCCCTGCCCCCACCCAGGCAGCAGACCCACAGCCCCTGCACATTCCTGGGGCTCGAGTTGCTGCCGCCTAAGCCCCTGGCATCCAGGGCAGCTGTCTTTTTATAGGGTCCAGAGTGTGCCCGATGACTGCTGGGGCCACAGCCCACGCCGCCTCCTCTCAGAAGGACCCCATCTCTGGCCCTGCCCTTCAGAGACCGGGACCTGCACGGCCAAGGCGTCCAAGCTGGGGCCACCAGACACAGGTCTGGCAAAGTGAAAGGAAAGCCTGGCTTTGAGCCCCAGCTTGGAGCCTGCCCCCTCCCACTGTGGGAACTCGGCACCCCCCACCTCTAATCTGCACCCTGCACCCCAGGAACGGGGTGGACACTGGCATAGTGGACAAAGCCTTCGAAGATGCCCTGAGCGCTTGGCCCAAGCTGTTCAGTCTCGTGGGAGTCATAGCAGCCAAAACCGCCTCTGAGCTGGACTTTGGCAGCTTTCTGAAGCCTCTGAGCCTCAGTGCTCCCACTGTGCCCGAGAGCACGGGCTGCCCTCCAGCACTGTCGTGTCGACGGGTGCACTGACATCGTGTCTGGCCTGGAGCACAAGGACGCCCAAGTAGTCATTCCGTCCCCCCTGCCCTCCCTGCCTCCCAGCCCACAGCCCAGTCCCGCAGAGCCTAGGCCCGGAGGCGGGGCAGGAGCTGACATCCAGGCGTCCCCGGGGGCCCTCTCTCCCCCTCCAGCATGTCCTGGTGGCTGAGACCACAGAGCCTGGATTCACGCTTCGGCTCTGCCACTCGCTAGCTGTGTGATCCTGGAGAAATTAGTTGGCCCCTCTGTGCTTCCGTTCCTTGTCTGTGAAATGATGAGTGCCCCCCTTGCAGGGTCCCTTTGAGGATTACATGTGTGTATGCGGCCAGAGCAGGACCTGGCACGTAAGGCGTGATTGGTAAACCATGGCTGTTAGCATCAGGATTGCCCGAGAGCCCGTCTCCCGCCCTCTCCTGGGTGGGCGCCCTGCCCTCCGCTTGTCCCCTGTCAGCAGCCACCCCGTGCACAATCTCCTCTGTTACTCAGCTCCGCTGGCTCCCGTGGCTAGACCCGCGGGAGCCGGTTCTCCGGGTGGGGAGAGGGGTGGGGGAGGCGAGGTGTCGGGGAGACCCGCTCAGACCCGTCTATTTGGGTGAGAGTTCACCAGGGTAAATATAGCCACTTTCCTCACTCCCTCGGGTCATGTTCCAAACCTGGAGGCTGAGGTGGTCGTGGAGACAGATACCAGGGCCCTGGACACGTGGGGACAGTGTGGCCACGGGGCACCAGGCTGGCTTCCCCAAGCCCCCACTCACTGAGTGCTGCAGGGGGGCCCGCGCCTGGCTCCCCTCAAGCCCGCCTCCCTCGTGCGCAAGGAGGAGGGATAGCAGAGTGGGGAGGGACCCAGCCCACAGCTCAGGGCCCGAGAAGCACCATCGTCTTCCTAGAAACCACCTTTGCTTGGGTTCCAAGCCCATCTCCACCTGGGACGGAGAGAACTTCGGTCGCGGCTGCGCAGCGAGCTCTGTGCCGCCTGCCGCCCGTCTCCGCGCCCGGCCCCTAGCGCCTCCGTCCACCCCGGTCAGGGCCGGATCGTCCAGTCCCGTGGTGCCCCCAGGCCGCCCTCTGAAGGAGCCTGAGGAAGTGAGGACCCTTGGCAAGGCTGGGCCTGCTCTCTCGGGGTCCCCAGGGTCCCTCACAGGCTCGCCGCATCGTCAGGGCCTTGTGGGGAAGCAGGCTCCAGGCCGCTCTGCGCTTGAAACTCTGAGCCCTGGGCACGGTCTCCGTTTGGCTGGTGAGGTGGCCTCTCTCTTCCACCCCACTTCCCACCTTCGAGCTTTAGGAAACAAAGTCTCATCTACTTAAGGGACGAGACGGGGAGGGCGCCAGGAGGGAGGCAGTCGTCCACACTGTGAAGCATCTTCCAGCAGCGGCGCCCACCAGCCGGCTTCGCGCACGGCTGCGGGGACCCCACGTTCCCCCACCACCACCAAGCCTGAGCCCCTGCAAGCACCGACCCCTCTCCTTCAGCCGAATCCACTTTGGCTCATTGAACCCGATGTGCCTGGAAAAGTCAACAGATACGAGTCCAGCGCTGCGTCCCCTCCAGTAAGATTTACGTCCTCAGAGGTCACCGTGCTTGGCCCCAAGGAAGGAGCTTTGGGCCCCGGGGCCTCCTGTCAGCCCTGCCCCAGACCAGCCTGTGAGGGCCTTTCTGTGGACTCCAACGGGCCTCGGGAGGGGCTGGAACACTGGAGGCCAGGCCGCAGTGCCTGGGCAGGAGTTGGGGGCGAAGGGGGTGGCACGGCCCCTCTGTGGCCTGACAGGGAGATGGAGGCAGACAAGGCCCCTGAGGAGGGGAGCCCAGCCCACTCCCCCCACCTCCCCACAGAGCCCTGGGCCGACCAGGGCAGGGGAGCTGCCTGGATCAGGATGGCTGCCCCTGGGAGAGGGAGGACTTTGCCCAAAAATAGAGACAGTGGGAGGGGGCTGCAGTCTGAGCCCTGCTTTTTTCAGCCCAGGACTTTGGGAGAGTCTGGCTCCCACGGCCCCAGGAGCAGGTGCAAGTCCTGTGGATCAAGGTCCCACACCAGGCTCACCTCCAGCCAAGCGCGGACCCAGAGCCCAAGTGACAGGCCTGTCTGTGGAGGGACGTCAGGTGACTGAGGCCCATCCTTGTGGGGAGCTGGTGTCGGAGCCATCACTGCACAGCCAGATGGGCTCGTGGTCCTCCTCTGAGGTCAGGGCGCCAGGGGGCGAGGGGCAGACACGGTCTCCCCTGCTCTGGTGTCAGCCTGGAGTCTAGTATCCCTTTTCAGGAATAGAGGTCGTGAGGCTGCACCTGCCTTTGAAGTATGCAACAGCAGAGATTGAAATTTCCTTTGTTTATTCATTCAACAAACATTTCTTGAGCACCTACTGTGTGCGGCGCAGTCTGGTGTGCTCTAGAGCAGAGCTTCCCAGATGACCTGTGAGGAAAGACCAGTTCGTTGCTTTTAAATCTCAGCCAGCTGTGAGCTGCCCGGTGGTCCCTCCACACAGCTTGTGTGTGGGGGACTTGCCATGTGGCTTTCCTGAGCCCACACTGGTCTGTGGTCCACCTGCGTGCTCGGAGGTCATGGCACATGGCTACGACAGTTCACAGATGCTGCTTCTCAGAGCCTATACGTTGCTCATCTCAGAGTGACAACTGGGTGACAACCGAGAGAGCGGCAGACACCCACGTGGCTGGCGTGGCTCCAGATGCAGGTGACACGGCATCTGACTGTTCAGGTCGGGAGACAGTCACAAGAAAGAGAAACGCAGTGTGGCGAGCGGTGCTCACAAAAACCTTGAGCCAGAAAAGAAGACAGACGGGGGAAGGGAGGGGACTGGGGGACCCCCGCGATAAGGTGATGTTGGAGTTGGGATGTGAGAGAAAGCAGACAGTGAAATACCCGTGAAAGGCAGGCCAGGCTGCAGGGGCTTGGGGCCCCAGGTGACGCCGATGGCACTGGTCCTGTGACGCAGGAAGGGACACGTCCCTCCACCTCCCCGCCTGGGAGGGCCCGGGCCGCGTGCACACGCGGGGGCCTGGGGCGGGTGTTACGACCCCGGTGGTCCTGGGCCCGGC